AAAGCATGTGCCCTATCATGGAGACATGGTCCTTTGATCTACTGATGATCGTGCAAAGTGACTGGCCTTACCCTGCATTTCCTTGTTTGTGGTTTTAGGTTTTGCATTCCTGTTCCTCAGCAACTTTCTGAAGAACAAAAAGGAACTACCTCTTCTCAAAGTAATTTTGCTTTAATTGCACAGCCAGCAAACAAACCAGTTATATGAAAAGGTAGATAACTACAGTCTATTTTCCCCCTACCATTTGCAGAAACTGATTTTATAAGCATCGCAGGAATACAGATGTTATTATCTTCAGGGCACCGGTCCCTGCTCATCAGCCGCTGCATCTTTATCTACACAAAAGGTGCAAATCAGCAGGGGATGAAAGAGGACCTGAACCATGCTCTGCTCCGAAACTGGTTCAGCCTACGCAAGGCTGGCAAGGCTGGGATAGAATGAAAGAGGTTCCAGGTGCTTTCCGGCTGACTGTCCACCTGACATTTTTCCTTCAATATCAAGGTCAAATTAGCCATACCATTAGAGTTCCATAACTGGAGCTGTATACATGTTATTTGGCGCTACAAGGAAAGCCTGTTAGGGATTATGTGCCTGGGAATGGGGAAAGGGGTGGTTAACTGTTCGCCTATACTGTTTCCCCCATTAAAAATACTTCACCCAGGCTGCCTGATGCCCCAGTAAGAAAGAAAAAATACAGGAACAACAAGGGTGTTTACCTTCCCCACCACCAGGGCTTAAAGTAGCAAGAAAAGGAGGTTTTGACTGGGGAAATAGTGCAGTGGGGAGCAGAAGAGTAAAACAGCACCCCTAGCCAGCCCCGTAGCTAGGGAAGTTTTGGGGAGGGGGCCTCGGGGGCCTGCCAACTAATTAAATGAAAGTATAGTGCAGGTGGTAAGTTAGAGCACTTTGGGGGCAGCCCAGGCAAGGGGGCCCAGAAGAAACACTAGGGGGCCAGGTCCCGTGGGCCCCATGTTAGCTATGGGCCAGCCCCTAGCTTGCTAACGACAAATCACACATCAGGAGTTCCAGCCAAGGAAATCCAGTGTGACATGTAATCCAGCTCTTTAAGCAGTTGTTGTTTTTTTAAAAGAACTTCCGAAGAAGACTGCAGACTCTGAAAGCCCTGCTGTGTGGGAGCTAACCATGATCACTCATGGACAAAAGAAAGGCACTATCAACTTGGTGCAGTGGTTAGAGCTTTAGACTACTAGCTGGGAGACTCGAGTCCAAACCCCCACTCTGCAAAGGAAGCTCACTGGATGACCTTGGGTAGGTCACTCTCTCTTAGGGTTACCAGCTCCGGGTTCAGAAATATCAGGACATGGGGTGGAACCTAAGGAGGGCAGGGTTAGGGGAGGAGAGGGACTTCAGTGGAGTATAATACCACAGAGTCCACCTAGCAAAGTGGCCATTTTCTCCAGGTGAAGAAAAAGAAGAAGAGATTGGATTTATACCCCGCCCTTTACTACCCAAAGGTGTCTCAGAGTGGCTTACAAACTCCTTTCCCTTCCCCTCCCCACAACAGACACTCTGTGAGGTAGGCGGGGCTCAGAGAGCTCTTGACAGAAACTGCTCTTTTTCAAGAGCAGCTGTGCCAGAACTATGGCTTGCCCAAGGTCATCCAGCAGGTGCAAGTGGAGGAGTGGGGAATCAAACCCGGTTCTCCCAGATTAGAGTCCACACACTTAACCACTACACCAAACTGGCTCTGTCGCCTGGAGATCAGTTATAATGGCGGGAGATCTCCAGCCACCACCTGGAGATTAACAACCTTACTCTTTCTCAACGTAATCTACCTCACAGGATTGTTGCTGCAAGGGCAGCATGAAGAAGCAGGGAATAATATATGCTGCCCTGAGCTCCTGTAGGAAAGGTGGAATAAAAATATATTAAATAGAAATACAGTGGAAACTTTACTTCACACAGATTATGGAAATGTCTACAAGCACAATACCCCCTCCAGGAGAAAAAGGCGACCATCCCAGCCTCCATATGAACTGAACCCTGTCTCTACCAAAACTGCTGCTCCCCAGACAACCCTCGGCCCAGATCTGTGGACAGCCCTACCTCCTCCACGAGGGTGGCGAGGTGGTCCAGGGGCGCAGGGGACAGGTCCCCCCACAGCAGGTGACCCGGAGCGGGCGGGCAACCCAAGGGCCCAGGAGCAGTGCGCAAAAGGAACACCCCCTTAAAGCAGCGGGCTGCGGCCGCCAGAGGAAGCTGCTCGACCAGCGCCAACTGCCCCGAGGAGCCCAGAGAGACGAATACCAGCCGCTCTGCGGGGTCGCCGCCCAGAAAGGCGCGCAGCAGCTGCCGCGCTTCAGGGCTAGCCGCACCCCGCGCCCAACGATCGGATTCCACCTTCAGGCTGCATGCCACGCGCTCCGCGAGGAGCCGCGCGCGGGGGTCCGACTCCGGGGGGCTCTCTTGGTCAGGATCCTGCTCCTCGCCACCCATGCTGCCCGCTCAGGCTTCCTCGAGCCAGTGTTTGGGGCGGAGTCGCCGTTGCTTTGGGAACGGAGGACGCCGTTCCGTCTGCCTGAGCAGCCGGGGGAGGAACGCGGCAGCTCAGCTATGGAGGGAGAGGGGGAGGGAGCGATTGGCTGGGACGTGGGACGCCGGCTGCACTCTCCTCAGGCTGGCCTCCCCTTCTTTCCCTCCGCGACATGAAGCCCCTTGACATGCAGCCTCTGTCTTTAAGCTAGAACGTAAAAGCTTGACACCCAACTTACCCCCTCGTTTTAAATAGACATACGGTATTTGACCTTTATACACCAACTAGTTATACCCCTAGCTTGATAGAGTAGGGGGAAAAATGGGTTTCCTTTAGACACACTCACCCCCAAAGGGTTAAAAGTGCTAAAACACAAGGGAAATCCGAGGTTAACACAAAGCAAGATGTTATACACCTGCATTATAAGGCACAAAGAGTAGCAGACTCCATACTAAGAACATGGCTTGCACATGGTGGAGATTGTACACCCCACTTCATTGGAATCCCTCTCTGAATGTTACTTTGCATGAAAACTCTGCACAAGTAGCAGAGTGACACCACAGGATGAAAGCTTCAAAACCATGACTGAGCAAGTCAGTGTTCCCTCTAAACTGAGTCAGTCTGAGCTAGCACACAGTTTTTTAGCCTCCGGCTCACACATTTTTGTCTTAGCTCAGGAAGGATGGCTCCAGAGCAAACTAATTTATGCAGTAGCCAAACTACCTGCTCACAACTTTAATGGCAGTAGCTCACAAAGTAGAAGTTTGCTCACAGGACTTCATAGCTTAGAGGGAACATTAGTTATGTACTGGGGAGGAATTTTGAAGCATTAGGGGATAAGGTTGCCACCCTCCAGGTGGGGCCTGAAATTATAAGTGGTTTCCTCTATGGCATTATACCCAGCTGAAGTCCCTCCACTCCCAGGCTCCACCCCCAAATCACCATGTACTGCCCACCCTATTTAGAGAACATTTCAAAATATGAATCTCCAGGAACCTTTGCTTGCAGTCTATTCTATTGCTTCACCATTCTACCACTTTATATTTTTGAATGTGGAAATGGCAGTTGGGGGAAGCAACTCGGGGGTGTGCTTGAGACCTCTTTTACGCCACAAAGTGTAAATCAGTTATCACAAATTTCTTTAAAACAATGCCTTTAAAGCATTTTGGCCATTTAATTTTAAATATATAAAAGAGCAACAGAACTAATGGCTTCCCTGGGAAGAGCAGTTTTCATCTTGTAGGGAAGGAAAAATTCCTTGACTTTCACTAAACCATAGCTGTACAATATGAAGTATTCTTGTGCGCCCAGGCCTGCGGGAATGAAGTTGAGCATTCTCTCTTCCCCACCATCAGGCAATAACTGATCCCCCCCCCCCCCCCCCCAACCCCCCCGGACACACACGCTCCCCCCCCCCCCTCCACAAAGTCTCTTTTACAAAGCACTAACCCCCTTTCAGCAAGGACAATTTCGTACATTTAACCACAAACTTTTTTTTACACAAATGCTCCTGTGGTTTGATGCCCTTATCAGTCTTATTGGATCTAATTTCAAGTTTAAAAAATCTTTCCATTCTTTCCTCTCCCCTTCCTCTTCTTTCTTTTACCCTCTTCCTAGTTACTTTGCTGATACTTGTTTCATACATCCCTGTTCTCCCTCACAACTCCCTCCTGCCATCTCAGCACCTCCTTCCATGGAACAGCTGAAACAGTGTTTGAGGACATGCCTTTAACCTCTGTAGATCTCCTTTAGGGGTGTGCATTCAGGTCTACATGAACCAAAAATATAGCTGAAAAACACCGATACCGGTATATTTCAGCATCCCAAGGGTATCCAGGAGGTTTCAGAAAAACCAAAAAATTCCCTGAAAAAATCCCAGATATATTCAGGAATTACAGGCACACCCAAACAGCAGCTGAAAACTGGAGCAGATTGCTCACACTGCTCAGCTGTTTTTGGGTTTTCTTCTGCAGTCCCTTTAAACAGGGGGCTTTTAAAGAGACTGCAGAAGACAGCCCGCAAAACAGCCAGGGGGCACTCTCCCCACCGGCTCAGCTGGAGCTCTTTTGGGCTGTTTGACCGAGTTGTCAAAGAGAGCCCCAGCAGAGCCTGCAGGGAGAGTTCTCTCCACAAGATCGGCTCCTTGGCGGACTGTTGGACACTGTTTTAAACCAGGCTGCTCAGCAGAGCCTGCGAGAATTCTCTCCGCAGGATCAGATCATTTGCAAGCTCTTTGGGGCAGTCCAGTTTAAAGGGACTGCCTAAAACAGCCCCCGTGACCTGTCTCTCTGCTGTTTTTTTGTGGCTTTGCCGCTGCTTTTTCCCCTCTTTGTATTTCCAAAAAAATCCCAGATCCAAATACTTTTCTGATATTGAGTTCCAGGTTTTTTTCAGGAATCCCAATTTCCCCCCCAGGTCCAATAGACCCAAACTGGAAAATACCAAGAAAAAACAAACAAACACACACCCCTAGTCTTTTTTTTTTTTAATGTAAGTGTAAGTCAGTGTGTTTGTTTTTAACTGATTCATAGCACCTGTTATGCTTTTGGGAAACATAGTAATAATAATAAATGGTGCTGCTAAAATGCCTCTAAACCTTGCATATGGACTAAGATGGAAAAACCCCAACAGAAACATAAATTAACACTCTATTTAATTCCCCATTAACATTACAGCAAATCTTATGCAGACACAGTTCAGTCAAAATTTTGAGAGCAATTCTACAAGCCTGTAATGGGATTCCAAATGCCCTTATTCGCATAGAGACAGGCATGATTACAGCTGAGATAAAACTATGGATTGCAGTGACAATGTTTTGGTTAAACCTAGCTTTTCTACTAAAGGGATTGACAAGTTTAATAATATCAGATCATTTTGAACACCCTTGGTTTAAGGTGCTAGATAAGAAATTAACCTCTTACGGTTTGTCTAAACAATATTTGTGTTCTATGGGTTATGAAAAGGCCAAGTTTATGGCGAGACAGAGAATACTGAATATCTCAAGACAACATGATCTAAATGTGATAGAGAAATGGCGAGTCCTTCTGGCTCCAGATAACAAGAGTAATCCCTATGCCTTACCTCTCCCGTTTATTAAATCAGAACATTTACATTAATGTGTTGGGATATACTCCCATCTGCAGTCCTTGAAGGAAAATTTAACAAGACTCCTTACAAAGAAAGGATATGTCCCTGTTGTGTGGATGGTATTGAATTTGTAGAACATGTAATTTTTGATTGTAAAGCATATAATAACATCCATGAGTCTCTTCCTTTCTCTAAGACACTCCCCCTCTCTCGCAGGCAAAGAAACTCCCTTTTAAGAAATTTGCTATCAGTTAGCCAGACAGAAGTTACTTATCGGGTGGCTAGGTTTGGATGGCTTGCCCAAAGAATTAGAAAATCTATAGTAGCTTGAAAAGAGGAGAACTAAGATTTAGTTTTATTAATTTTAACCATTATGGCTTTATGGTTTTTATAATCAGTCTTAAAAAATTTGCTTCTATTTTAATGTGATGTTTTCTTTCTATGTTACCAAATGTAACATTCATTCATTCACTCTATTTAATTAACATGGCAGGAAATTCAGATTATTACATTTATATCCCACTTTCCTTCCACCATGGAGCTCAAGTAGGTGGTACAGGGAGGTCTCCATTAAGTCTTGCCTCCTAAAATGCATTTAAGAAGTAATCTGAAGAGTAGTATCCTTTTATGGGGGAGATTCTCTCCTTTCTTGTTAAAGTATCCTGATTTCCCCTTGTATAAACCTTAATCATTACTCATCACTTCTGTTAGGTTTTTATTAAGGAACTATTTTCAGCAAACAGGCAGATGAGCAGAAAGGATGGACCTTGTTTCTAGGCACCATAGCCAGAAAGTGCATTTTGCTAGCTGTGGAACTAAGTTCAACAGGAATTCCAGCTGTAGAAATAGCTTAGGTAATTTTCCAGGTGCCCCCACAAGCAGACAAAGCTGAATATGATGCCATCTCCTGAAATCGTCGGTACACACTGCGCACCATGTGTAAAGTCACTCTTGCCCCAGCAAGAAAGGCACAAAGGCAGCGATTTGCTGCTTTACTCAGTTGGCAGTTTTAAGTTTTTTGTTCGGTGCTCCGTGAAGGTCCGCTCCATGTTCCAGTTTTGTTTTGGCAGTCCGGGCCTCGGAGGCTTTTATTGCCTCTTTAAGAAGCCGCAGCTCTCGTTTCTCCCTTCGCTCTTCCATTTCCTCAATCTCATCTGCAAACAAGGCTTTCAGTGGCAGGATCAGCTTTGGAATAGTAGCAAAATCACCAAAACGCACCTGGCAACAGACAAACCCATATTACCATCAGCAGCCATGGTGCAGCATCTTCCCTTCACAGCATATTAGTCTACACACAGTCTTGGAATAGGGGACAAGTGTGTATACTGCATGTTAGAAACCCAGTATTGTATAGTGACAAGAGTGCCAGATTAGGTCTGTGGAGACACACTTCACATTTCCAATCTGCCAGGACATTGACAGGATGTCTTTGGAACAGTTACTCTAATTCAACAGGGTAATTTTAAGAATAAAATGAAGAGGAAAATCTTGTGTACTGCCCAGAGAGGAAGAGCAGGATAACAAAAAAATCTGACAGCCTACAGGTGGTGTCACAGTCTTCTGAGCACTGGACAAAAATTCCACTCCCTTTTTCTACATGGGGAGAGGTCAGTGCAATGCAGAGCACCAGTCATTCCTGGACTGCTGCAGTGTGGTACCATGGCTTGTTAAAAAAGAGATGTGATCAGCATCAAGCACTTTCCAACTGAAGGACATGCAAAACATGCTAAGAAAACAGAGAGATGTTGAGTTTGGAGAGATAGACATGTGCTCCAAAGTAGATATGAAACAAGTATATTCAGATCCCGTTACTAGCATCTTCTCATGAACCCTCCATTACCAGAAAAATATCCTTACCATCCTTGCCGTCCAACCCTCCAACATCAATGCCTTGCAGTTGGCCCAAAGCCTGTCTTAGAAAGCTCTGACGGAATTTCTGTACTGGAGCTCAGTTCCCAGTAGGAGATGACTGAGCACTTGAAAATCTGGAACTCTTATTTGACAGCTCAAATCTCAACTCACCTGCATGTGATCAAAGGCAATCCCAACCTTTTCACTGAAATCCTCGCTGAAAAGAGGGATTTTAGCATAGCGTTGGCTGAAGTGATTGAGCATGATAAATTCTGCATTCATCTTCATCCCAACTTCAATTGCCTGGGAGGTAGTGCTATAAGATAGGTACAACACTCATTATGGCACAGAGCAAAATAAAGTGCTAAGTGGGTGGGAAAGCACACCAATATATATAATCCTCAACGTGGCCAGATCTGTGGATACCTAAATCTGGAGACCGGAGCAGTGAACAGAGGTCTTTCTACAAATCTGAGAAATACCCAAGGTTTGCAGAAATATCTGAAATCTAAAGAAATTCCCTGGGGGTTAACAACCTTCCCCCAAAATAACTGAAGCACGTCTGTAGTGCCCTCTCTGTAGCTGTTGCTAGGCAACCACACAGCATTCGAGCCTTGGTTTCTATCAGAAAAAAGCAAGGGCTGTTATGATCTTTGAGGAAGGACTAATCAAGGCTAAGTTCAGCAGCAACCACTGGGTGACTTGCTACCACACAACTTGCATGACTCACCCCACAAAAGCCAGTGTGATGTAGTCGAGTTTCAGACTAGAATCTAGGAGACCCAGGTTTGAATCACCACTGTCACATGGAAGCTCACTGGGTGTCCTCAAGCCAGTTATATATTCTAAGCCTAATCTACTTCACAGGGCTGTTGTGGGAATAAAATGGAGACAAGAAGAATGATGTAAGATGCTTTGAGTCCCCTGTTGTGGAGAAAGGAAGGGTATAATAAGTATGACTGAAGATGGGGGCAGACAAAAGGTAGGTAGGTTGGTGGGCAGGGAATCTCTCAGACTCCTCCCCTTAGCTAGGATAATTTTAAAAGCCTCCTTACTCAGTAAGAGAAAAGGAAAGACTGGAAGATGGTATGTAATCAATTTGAGGCATATGGAGATGCTATTGAATCAAACACCCCAGAAGCCTGAGACATTCACAGATGGGATTAACCAAACTTTTAAATTAGGTTAATAAAGCCTGTAGCTTTCCACTAAGAGAGGCTAGTTTTTAAGACTTCACATGCCAAATATTGTAAAAAGTTTCTATTTTATTACTTTTAAACATGTTTTGCTTTCTGTATGTTTTCTTCTTTTAAATCCCACATACATTTCTTAACGCATTTATAATAAACCGTTCTTACATCATAGTAGTAATATGGGGATTTCTTTTGTTCCTTACATAAGAGGTGTACAATAAAATACTCTAGGTAATGAAAGCATTCCT